ACAACGGTCATAAGGCAGGTAAGCCCTAATTTGTTCTTCATCTGTCACCGAGATATCTAACTCAACACGAATCCTGCTTTTTGTAAGAAATACAATAATATCTTATTTTCTTTCCTCATCTCTGGAAGAAGTAGGCCGAGCGAGATGTACGACTGACACCATGAATATACTGAGCGACTTCACAGGGAGGAAGGCAAGAAAACACTGGCATTATCAGAAAATAACCTGTTTTCAGCTCACCCAAGAAAAAACACAGCCATATCCCTGTAGATATTCGGTAAATCCGGGTCAGGTAACCGGCGCAGACACGTAAAAAATATTGAGTGCTTTAAGATATGTGACGGTGAGAAAACAGATTGGTTTGGGGCAGGACACGACTCATTATCGGTACATCTTTCTCTCCATGGAAAAGCCGAGGTATTTCCCCCTCCAAAGTTCACGATCGTCATCCAAAAGGTGGTCTATTCATCATCCTAGCCCTTGGTATGCCTGCCACTTGCTATTTTGGGGCCCCTTTGGGCATTCCACATCATGAGCAAAACGTGGTTTGTTTAGTATGTTGTTTAGAGTGTGGGTGCATCTATTTGATAGTGGGCAGGTGTTTGTGAGAGCATAATACTATTATAATATGTTTGGGTGTTTAGGTGGGTTATTTGTGCGTGTGCATATGTGTTTGGGGAGAGAGAGAGGGGGGGGGGGAGGGGGCAGAGAAAAAGAAACAGAGAGTGATAGGGAGAGAGAGGGGGGCGGGAGAAAGAGCGTTAGTGTAAGAGAGAGAGAGAGAGAGAGAGAGAGAGAGAGAGAGAGAGAGAGAGAGAGAGAGAGAGAGAGAGAGTGGGGTATCCACAATTTGTCTTTCAGTTTGTCTTCAATCGATTCAATTTTCGCACTGATTTTAGCTTGTCCCCAATGCGACTTGTTAATATTTATAGATATCAGAAGAAAACATGTTCCTGTATGATAGGCAGCATATGAAAATGAGTGATTACAGTGGCGAAACCTGTGGTATGTTGCGAAAAACTAGACTGATTTAACTCGTTCTTCATACTTCATAGTTTTGTACGGCCAAATGGACCCTCCCATAACTATGCCGAAACATCCACAACATCTTCTCCATAAATTCACTCCCGAGTTGTTTTGATTTAGATAATGCCCCGTGATGTGCCTTTAAAACAATTTTGACGTTTGGAACCCACCACAGGGGCGAGTTATCTCCTGGATGACGTCATCTCATGGCAACTCTTACAACGGCTGCTGGGTACTCTCGGGACGAAACGCTCCAGGAAGTAAGCTCTACAAGTAGCCAATCAGCCACGCCCGTCGTTCGCACTGATGAACGCGCATGCTCGTGCAAGGTAAGGGAAGAGAAGTACTCTGCCCAACCTGTACTAACTAGACCCCCTGATTTCTTCTTGACATCCCCCTGGACACGATAATACACCAGATTCCTAGTTCAGGCGAAGCGTTGACCCCGAGATTTGGTATTCTGCGCATGCGCGCTGCATTCCCCCGTATCGATGACACGAAGTAGGACATTAATATTACAAGGATGTCAGGTGTACCGCTAATGCTTCAGTTAATGAGCACATCTTCCGACGATGTATAAAGATAGAGTCTGCGGGTTGGGGGGGGGGGGGGGGGGTTGGGTTGTATGTGTAGGTCAAAAACAAAAACAGGAAGGGGAGGGGGTGGTGGTGAAGGGTGTAACTTAGTGCATCAATAACATTTGAATAAAGCCATGCACAGGATCTCATTTTTGTTAGATATTATATTCGATTTCGTTTTATACTCACATGACAGACATTAAACTTTAGACGTTGTCGATTAAATATACGTTATTTCTGTACGCTCTGACTCCACTTTTCCATACAGTGATGTCAAACCACTGTGTTAAATCGAAACTCATCACATAAAAATCTATTCTGTAGCTTCGGAAAATCGTTGCATGTTTGGATTATGCTATAAGACCAAAACATAGAAAAACAAGACACCCCCTAAAAAAAACCCACCCCCAACCAGAACAACAAAACAAAACAACAACAACAAGAACAAATAAACAAATAAGTAAAAAATAAATAAATAAACAAAACATTTTTTAAAAAGCAAAAAAAAAACAACGTCAAACAACAATAACAACTCCCCAAATGTCACAAAGCAGAAGCTGGTTATAAAGGAACAGAGAAATCGCATAGGGAGAAAAATCTGAATCTGTTTAAAGAAGAAAATTCGTTCTCAGACGCCCCCCCCCCCCCTTTCCCATCTCCTATTTTCAAAACTCCCTTTGAGAGAGCAAAATTGTACAGATTAATCTCGATCCCTGCCTCTTTGTCTCTCTGTTTCTCTCCCTGTTTCTCTCTCCGTTTCTCTCTCTCCCTCTCGCTCTCTCTCTCTCTCTCTCTCTCTCTCTCTCTCTCTCTCTCTCTCTCTCTCTCACTCTCTCTCACTCTTCTCCGCTCCCTCCTCCGTTTCTTTTTCTTTCTTTCCCTCACTTTGCATATGA